GTCGACGAAAGGAGAGAGAGAGAGAGGGGGGGGGGAGAGAAAAATGAGGAAGTGTCAACGAGGCGTGCGCGTGTCTGTGTGCGAAAACGATAGCGCGATTACGACGGCTGGATTGCGCCACAATTGCGATCGCGAGCGAGTCGCGCCACTGTATGCGGGACAAAGCCAATTACATAATGTTTAATATCGATAATCGGCGAGCGTTTAACTACAGCAGTCTTGTAATGTGGAGCAATCGGGGGATCGCGTTATCTCGCGGTTTGCGTCGCGATCGCGAGGCTCTGCCGATTCGCGGATCCGATCGGCGCGCGCGAGCGCGAGCGCGATCTCACCTTTTTCTTTCTCCGCCTTTTCCTTTCTTTTCTCCTCGGGTGAAGGCGAACCTCCCCCCGGCTTGAGGAATTTTTCCTGTTCCCGAGAATTGCCCTCTCGGCGGGGGGCTATTGGGTCACACATCTCGCGGAAATAAGCCCTTCCCCCTCCCCTTCGCCGCGATAATTATTATCGATGTGAGCCGGCGCGAGGCACGCGGAAAAATAAGACACGCGGCAAGATTTTCGCAAGACGCGTGACATTTCCGGCGACCGCTTTTCCGAAGGCGAGAGTGGCACTCTCGCGCGGTTTTTCCCCCGCGCGTTCGCGGCTCTTCACGAGGAAAGTTCGAGCGCGAGGCTCGGCCGCAGAATTGATGAGGTGGCGAACGGAGAGGACTCGCAGTCACGAGCACTCGGAATTCTCGTCTATTTAAAATTGACAAGCGAACGGTGTTCGAGGAAACTCATTTTCAATTCCTCTCATTTAGACGCGTATAAACCGCCCAAGTAACACTCGATTATCACGACCGCATCAAGATGATGTCATCGTGACGTCAGAGATGTGCGAACTGCTCGAATACGAATCGAATCGAATCAGGTGATACTCAGTTTGATTCGAATTTGAATTATTCGAAGGTTTCGAATCTAGTTAGCGCAAGTACGAATCATATATATTGCCAACGCCTGTTTCAGTTACGTTAAACAAAATATATGTTGTGTTATTTATTAGTTTCATATTAGACGTTTAAATATATTTTTGCTCTAAAACGAATTTGTGTTACATAATCAATATTATTTTCTCTCTCTCTCTCTTATTACTGCGTTAAAAAATTCTATTTTTAATTCGATCCAGTTCGATGTGGACCGAAAAACGGAAATAAAATCTCAATTCGATTCGTGATGTCAAAAATTCTTGATTCGCGCATCTCTAAAGGCCTGTGTCCACGGTGCTAAAACTTGGTCCAAGTCTCGCTTTTATGGAACAGCTGCAAGTTCATTGGCTACACATTTCTCAAAACTATCTCTCTAAAAGTCAATCAGTGGATTATCACTGAAAACAGTGAATAGTCACTGATTTACAATTATAAGTATACCACTGCAATTTTCAGTAGCACATTTATAACTGCAAATCAGTGACTATTCACTGTTTTCAGTGATGGTTCACCGATTGACTTCTGGATGTCGAATCGACGTCG